GCCGCCACAGGGCCGGGGGAGGCGAGCGCGGCCTCGCCGCGTCCCGGGCGGCCGGCGGGGGAGGAGGGGGCCGCGGCTGCCACAGGCAGCCCCGACCCCATCCCCATCCCCGCGGCCGTGCATCCCCGGGCCGGCCGTGCCGGTGCCGCCCCTCGGCCGCGCCCGCCCCCTGGCTGCCTGCTCGGCGGCGCGGCAGTGCCGGCGGGACTATGGCTGCGGAGGAGGTGCTGCAGGGCGCAGACCACTACAAGAGCGAGATCGAGCGGCTGACCCGGGAGCTCTCCGAGACGACCCACGAGAAGATCCAGGCGGCGGAGTATGGGCTGGTGGTGCTGGAGGAGAAGCTCACCCTCAAGCAGCAGTACGATGAGCTGGAGGCGGAGTATGACGGCCTCAAGCAGGAGCTGGAGCAGCTGAAGGAGGTGAGCCAGCCCGGGCTTTTGTCTGGCCCCGCCGCCGGGGGCTGCGGGCAGGTGCGGGGCGCCCCACGCGTGTCCCTGCCGGGGGGCGAGCGGGGACGCGATGCTCGGGGCCAGGAGCGGCTGCGGGCTCCGGGCTCCGCTCCGGGCGCGGGGAGGAGGGGTTTCCCGGGGCCGAGGATCGGCCGGGACCGTGGAGCTTAAGGACGGATTACACGAGATCGCAGCCCCCTTGCCCTGAGAAATTTCCCCGGGGCTGCGCTCCGGCTGCTGCCGCCGGCAGCCTCAACTTGTGGGAACAGGCGTTTGCAGCAGGGGAGGGTCCCCCCGCTCCTACCTGCACCGCATCGCCCGAGGCTTGTCTGGGAAGAGCAAAGGAACCAGTGGGATGAGAGCTGGGCCAACGCAGTGCATAAGGAGTCGGGATCTCTGTAAACAGCTGTCTGCAGTGCGTGAGGAGAGAGACAATTCCTTTTGAAGTTATTTATAGACCCGCTTTAGTCTGCCAGTGAGGGGAACCGCTGCCATTGGGGGGGGACACTCTCGAGGTCACCCATCAGTGGAAATTAAACTTCTGCGTCATGCTGAAAGGGTGAAATATATGATTAGCGGAGTGATTTGGGATTGTCTTTCAGATGTGTTTTTGTAACACTCAAAGTATGAAGTAGGTGGGTGTTACACCTTGCCTTTCAGCTCTGCTAAACATGACTCTGTCTCCGACAAATCATCACCCTCCCTCTGTTCATCCTTTAGGGAAGTAACTTGAGGCTGATAACAGAGCACGTACGTGGGAGCTATGGAAGGGCTGTGTGTGCACACGTATGCAGCACTCACAGCTCATGCTGTTTTTATACCGTCTCAGAGTGTAACTGATTAGGTTTTGTAAACAGAAGCTAAAGCATTAAACAGTTATTCTCCTAAATTTAGAATGTATCTTTTTATTCTACAAAAAAAAAAACCCAAAACAAAATAAAAAAACCACCCCTGCTATATAGAATGTGCGGAAATTCTGTTAGAATTAATGACATTTCTATTAGAAATCATGAACATATTCCATATGGAGGAAATACACTTAAAAAACTTAGGTTATTTCTCTTTATGTTCTTTAGACTACTGACTGATGCCCTTCTAGAAGTGTTTTTAATAAAATAAGGGTTTCATTTTACTTGCAGGTAAATGAGTTATGCTACAGACTTGGTTCAGTGTCCAGAAGAGTTGAGAACATTTTATTTTCAATATGAAGAATAAAGCTGTTTTTCAGAAAACCTATTGGTCTCCTTAAACTTGATCTCTGCCTTCCTGCACCCCTGAGCCTATGGAGTAGGCTCAGAACTTTTGAAACTAGTAATCACAGAGTGAGGGATAGAGATACATAACTTGGCACTGGCACGAAGGCAGTGCTGTTTGAAATGACCTGACAGTAAGAGAGGAACAGAATTAAAAGGGCAAAGTGCAATGCAGTTTCTAAGGAAAAGAGGAAGAAGAAGAAGGAGATAAGCAAAGCTGCAGCTAGCTGTTATCCCACCATAACCATGTACAAAAGAAGGCTGATGAGAAGTCAGGATGACACATGTCCATGGATAGAAGAGCTAGTGCAAGGAATCGAGTTGAAATTATGAAACTAGAGGGATTAGTCAATGCAATTAATTGAAATCAAAGATGGGCACAAACTCTTCCTGTTTACCTGTCCTTGAAGTGCATGCTCTGCAGCCCAGAATATCTCCTGTGGGGCCATGCCTTCATGCTGTGCCAGCCACAGCATGGATACTGAGGGGATATTCACAGAGGGAGGAGCAGGAGAAGCCCCGTAGCTTGCCTGATGCCAAACAAGAGTGGAGCTTCTCCAGTTTCCAATCCAGACCCAGGGCTCTCAGTTCCAGAGCTCTCCTTAGGTAGGGCATTTCCATTCCCTGCCTAGGCTGCAAGCACTTGTTTTCTTGCTTTTAACCTTTATAGCAGAAACCACACTGATTCTTACTGCATACACACTTTGCGAAGGAGAATTTTCTCTTAGCTCTTCCTGTAGCTGTAATCTGTTTTCTACTTCTGTGTTAGCACCTCCATTATGACAGTTCCCTCAGCACAAGTCAGGCCTGTAATGGTGAGACACAAGCAAATGGTGCCTCCAGCAACACCAGTGAGGCAGAGTTCAGATAGTTCAGGCAAATTGTCCTGTGGAGTGTAGATGTAGGGCTGTAGGGTTCTGTCTGAAAGCTCTTAAGGGGGCAGAGAAATCCAAAGACACATTTTTGGTTTAGTAAAGCACCATCCAAAATGTGTGTAGGAGGGTTTTTGTGTCCTTTGTCCAGTAGGCCCTTGCAAGAACATTCTGCCCAATGGTAGGACATCGAATGCCAAGACTGACCGACTGACTCAGGAATCTGTGCTGTGCTCCTACTTCACTGCATTTGCATCCTCTTTGAAGCCATATTGGGGCATAGAATCTAGGCCTTAGGTTTGTTCTAGAATAAGCAGTTTGTCCATTCCCAAGGAATAGTAGGGGCAAGAGGGTGGCCAGGATTTTGTTAAGACAATTACTTCTCCTTCTGCAGACCACCTCTAAACAGATTCAATTACTGGGGTTGACTTTTTTTGAGACAAGTCTTAGTTTTTAAAGAGTTTTATTATTGATTGCTTGTGTTCTGTTGTTAGGACCTCATTGTATGTATTACTCAGTTGAAGAGCTGCCTATCTTTAATTTTACTCAGCCATGGTTTGGCAGACTGGGATCTGAAGTCTTCTCCCATCCTCCTTGGCAATCCAAAACTCCACTGGACATCAGCAGTCCTTTTCCATATAAATGGCAATACCTCTGCTATACAATAATTTCCATCATTGCAGAGTGAAATGGGAAACTAAGGCCATTATAGAATGTTGAAGTAAAAGCAAATTACAATCATTTACATTAAATATTAATACTTGTATACAGGATATATGCTATCCACTCTGCAATATGAATTGTTTTGGTAACCTCTGATGTTTCTTCAGCTGTGTTCAGAGGTCTCTGCTTTAGCCTAAGATTTTGATGTTTTGGTCCATGGGATAAATTTATGTTTCAAAACCACTGTTAATATTTAAAGCTTTATTAATTTTGATAGGGTTTGGGTTGTTTTTGTTTTCTGTCTGAAAATGATGTTTCTCTAGTCAATTACATCTCAGTCTAGTAGAATTTTGGATCTTTGGTGAAACACTATCATTTTAGGGCCCCTGTTACAAATGATACTTTAGCTGATGCGCCTTTTAATCTATAGTCTGTAAAAATTCAGAGACTAGGACTTGTTGCTATTAGCCATGGGATTGAAGGTAGCTTGTTTTCATTGTCTTGCTGAGTTGGGAGTTTAATTACCATCATCTTTTATGTAAAGCATCTTCCAGTGGTTTTATTATATCTGGCATTACATGTTCATATTGCATTTGCTGTAAGAATAATGTGTGTTGTTAGTTCTGTTTCTTTTATTGGAAGTGTAAAATGGCTTCATATTGATCTTCTTGCCTGTTTACTGTAGCTGTCCCTGCTTTAGCATGTGGGTCCCTTCCAACCTCAGCCATTCCATGATTCTCTGATCAGCCACTGGACACTGGTGCTCCATAAAGTTTTTAAAGCAGAGAAATAGCAGTCATATCTGTTCATGATTAAATGGGGATGGAAGGCTTTGGTGTCCAACTCTGCAAGAGTTAGGCCTGGGAAATCCTAGCAGAGATTTTTCTTTGGGAATTGTCCTGGGTTGACTATATGATGCTTTTATCCCCAATCGTCTTGTTCTGTTTATACTGAATAATAAGTTTTACACCTTTAAGACTCTTCCAGAGAGTGAAGAGGGGAATCAAATCATGAACATGGCAGCTGTTCCTCTCCTTGACTCCCTCTCTGACTGACTAATTTAGGCAATATCTCACTTGGCTTCTTGGCTTTTATATATTTCATTCTATGGAGACAAACTCTTCTGGGTTGCACAGGGCACTGACTATCTGATTTCCAGGCAGTTTGGTGCTTGCTTTATTTAAAAGCAAATTATCCATGGTAAATACTTGGAAACGAGACTAGTGGTGGGCAGCCCTGTCCTTGGCAGGTGTTTGTTTTCTTTACCTCACAGAAATGTTGTATCAATGATTAGGAAGTGCTTACTTGGTTTACTAATAGGGCTTCCAGAAGTAATTCTTCGTCTGTGTCTGAAAGAGTTTTTTGAGGAGTAGAGCTGAAGGTCTCTCTGACAGCTTCTTTTCTGTTCTGCTCTTCCTCGCACTATTTCAGCACAGGTGACTCAATCTCCATCTCTCCTCTTCTGAAGTGATGCTACCCCTCCAGCTCCCCCACTGTTCTCCAAAACCTCTCACCCTCCTGCTGCTTGAATCACCACTGCCTCTTCCATCTTTGAAGTGTAAATTTGGTGGGACTTCTCTGGATCCAAAAAGGCTGGCGGAGAGGGAGGCTCCTCCCAGAAAGTATCCCAAATACAGCCCTCTTAAATGTGGGTTCTTGTACATGCCTGTCTACATCATAGGATGCTTAGGAAAGTGTGAAGCGGCTCATAAATCACACTGAGATGTTCTAAATTCTCCCCAAAGCTGAATGTGTTCCAAATGTGGAACTTGGGAGCTGTGAACTACTGCCATCTCAGTATATCTTTACAACTCCTTCCAGTGGCAGCATCTGTGGGCTTGTGTTGGATGAAGCAAAACATTTTCGGCATCTCATCCTGATCTCACCATTTTGTCCTTGGTGCCTGCTCACGTTGTGTCAGTCAGAAAGGCAGTGCTGCCCAGCACCCAGCTCAGAGATGAGGACATTCAGTTATTACAGGCTGGGGACTGACTGACTGACTGACTGACTGGGGGTCAGGTCTGTGGCAAAGGGAATCTTGGAGGACAGTAAGCTGAATGTTGGACAGTGGTGTGTCCTGACACTGAGAATTCTATCAGCATCCTGGACCTTTAGTAGCAGAAGCAGAGCTGGTAAGTTGAGAGAAGTGGTTATCACTTTCAAGCGGGCAGTTGTTAAACCA